TGGGGTGAGAGAAGGAAGACAGGATGAAAGACATGCTGTGGAAGAGAGACAGAGATCAACAAAAAGTGTGATTCAGTGTAGAGAGGTCTGTTAACACATGTTGAGTGAGAAAGGTGGCTGAAAAGGAAATACTGAATGCATCATGGGAATCCCCCAGCAGCCTACATCAGAATCAGAATCAGAATCAGAATGGGGTTTATTGCCAGATGTTGAGGTTTACAACATTAGGAAATTGCTGCGGTGCTTCAGTGCAAACAATAAGAATTAAAGTGCTATGTAGAAAGATACAATACATCTATTGCAGCATGACTAAGGGAGGATTCAGGGTGATGCGATCCAGCCCTAAATATATGCCTTAGATCTCCAACCTAAGGAGATTGGATTTTGGGGGCAAGAGAAGCTGCAGAGAGGTGTGTAAGACTGCAGCTCTGCTCCCTGATCCCAACTCTGAATAGTCACATTTTGTGGGATTTAATAATTTGGCCAGACTTTGAGATTTCTAAAAATGAGAGCTGCTCCATCCAGCTGGGATGGATGCCATCTCTCTTAACAAGACCCGGTTTCCTCCAGAAAGTTTCCCAATTATCTATGAAGCCCACATTGTTTTTTGGACACCACTCAGACAGGCAGTAATTTAAGGAGAACATGCGGCTAAACATGTCACTACTGGTCCGACTGGGGAGGAAACCAGAGAAAACTACAGAGTCCGACATTGTTTTGGCTAAGTTGCACACCAATTCAAGACTGATTTTAATGACTTCTGATTGACATAAACGGGTGTCATTACTGCCAACGTGAATTATAATTTCAGCTTTTGTAACGCTCGACCACTTCCTGCAGTACACGGTTATGCTTTTTGGCATGTGTAATGCTCCTTTTGCAGGGAGCCGGGTAGTTGTGGGGGATTTGTATTCAGCTGCTCTCCCTGATCGTTTCCCAATGAAACCACCAAAGTTTCCTACCTGATTGGAACACTGCAGGGTAGGACCTCTGTTATGGGCTCAGGCTTATCTCTCTTCTCGTCCACTCCAGTTCTGCTCATGTGATGAGTTTTTGGAGGAATTAAAGAAGACTTTTGCTCATCCAACTTCTGAGGGCAGTTCCACTAGGAAATCACTAAACCTCCGTCAAGGGAGATGGATGGCGGATTAAGCTCGAGGTCTTCCAAATGTGCTGTTTGCGTCAGATTCTGGGAGTGTCCCTCCGTGATCGTCTCAGCAACAGCGTGATACGTAGCCAATGTCACCAGCAGCCCTCAATGGAAGAGCTGATTAGGAAGCAACCACTGCAATGGTTTGGCCACATATGCCGCAAGAGCAACCATTGCCTGCCATATCACCTTTTGATGCAGTAGAACCCCGCCCACTGGAGAATCAAGCATGATGCGCTCAAGAAGACTTGGATCAAGCAAATTGGAGACGATCTTAAACAACGACATCTAACCCTCGAGC